TGCTGCTCCTCGGAGCTTGGGTGGCTGGGAGGCCGCTGGGGCTGGGTTGGGTGGCTTTGTGCCTTGCACCATGGCAGAAAAACCTGCCTGTGCAGTGGGCTCTTCCCCAGGCTCTTGTCCCGGCTCCCTTCCCTCCCTGGGCAGGACTTTCCAGTTGCTCTCTGCCAAGGCCTGAAGACTGGGCTGTGTTGCTGGTGTGGGGGAGGAGAGACACAAGAGACACTTTACAGGAACTGAATTTAGAAACTGGCCCGGTGCGGGGCTGTGGCTCTCAGTTTTGATAATGGGGTTTCTAGTGAGACACTGAGAGCTTGGCTTTCTTCAGAGCCCTGTGCTCCTGGGAACCCCCTGGGCAGTCCAGTCCCTCTCGCCCGCCAGGCCTGGGTGGTGACCAAGTGAGTCACCCGCCTGTGTGGAATGCTCCGGTGAGCCCAGAAAGCAGATCTGAAGGCTGGAGAGCTGATGACCCGTGTGTAATGACGAGTCTTCCTTGGCAGGGCGGGTTTGCCAGATGTTATGAAATGACCGACGTCTCCACCAACAAAACCTACGCGGTGAAAGTGATTCCTCACAGCCGAGTGGCCAAACCGCACCAGCGGGAGAAGGTAGGCGGGGAGGGGATGGCTGGCAAGTCAGGCCCCGGGAAGAGCCAAGATTTCACGCTTGCCTGGAGCAAGCGCTCTGCCTAGTGATGGGGCTGATGGGCCGCTTCCTGTTTTTTCAGATTATGAATGAGATCGAACTGCACCGAGACCTGCATCACAAGCACATTGTCAAGTTCTCGCATCACTTTGAGGATTCGGAGAACATCTACATCTTCCTGGAGCACTGCAGCAGGAAGGTATGTGGGGGGCTCGCCCTGCCAGCACAGCCGGGCTGGTCCGGCGTGAAGGAGGCCATAGCTGTCGCCTTTCCCTCGTGCCAAGAGGCCCCTCTTCGTTCAGTGCTTGTGAGCACAAGCACGTCTCCCCCCTTGACTGAGGCCTGAGTTTGCACTTGGCCACTTGTCAGACCATTTCGTTTCCCAGCCCTCGCCCTGCTGTGTCATCAGCCGGGTGAGCCGAACGCCACGCGCTGGCCTTGCGTAACCGCACTAAACCCATGACCAGGCTTCTCTTGGCAGGCGTGTTCCTAGATCCTGTTCTTGCCTTGTGCTCTGCCAGCAGTTGGCTCCCTAGAAAACGCCAGTGGGGCTGACCCCAAATCCTTCAGGCCCCCAATGCTGCGAAGGTGGCATCTCTGGGCCTGCCTGGCCCAAATCCGCCTTTCGCCCGGCAGTTATGCCAGCAACTTCTTAGATCCGCCCCATGCGGAAGAGCAGATCGTGGCTCTGAGGCCGCTCTCCGGCCTGCCCAAGTATCGTGCTCCGGGGGCAGGCGGTTGGCTGGTTGTGTGAGGCCGGAGGGGGTTGCTGTGGAGAGAGGGGCTGCCCATGTAACAGGAGGCTGCTCATGCCCATGTGACTTGATCCCGCAGCCTTGGCAGCCAAACTAAAGCCCGGGGTCAGCATGCAGCAAACCCTTGTTCCCATGGGTCTCCCTGCCCTCGGCTAGGACCTCAGTAAGCGGTGTTCCTTCCCGGCCAGGGCCGCTCACCGCTTTGCTTTTCCTCTTCAGTCCCTGGCTCACATCTGGAAAGCCCGGCACACGCTGCTGGAGCCGGAGGTGCGGTATTACCTCAAGCAGATCGTCGCCGCCTTGAAGTACTTGCACCTCAAAGGCATCCTCCACCGGGACCTCAAACTGGGTGTGTGCCACAGCGTCCGACCCCAGCCCCTGATCTGGGGGGGGGGGGGGGGGGGGAAACCCGGGGGCGGGTCCTCCTAACATCTCCCTTCCGTTGCAGGCAACTTTTTTGTCAATGACCACATGGAGCTGAAAGTCGGAGACTTTGGCCTCGCCGCCCGCCAGGAGCCGATGAACCAGAAGAAAAAGTAAGAACATCCCGCCATGCTGGGCTTCCCTGCTCCCTGCCGCCCCGATGTGTCACATTCTCCCTCTCAGCCCCCCCCTCCGAAGTCCACCATCTCCTCCTGCCTCCTACCTCCCTGGAATAACCCCCCTGCCCTGCCTGGCGGGAGGGAGTGCATCTGGGGGATGGCATCTCCGTGGCCCGACCCCACGTTCCGGTGGCAGCACAGTGCTCTGGCGGGCGCCGCTGTGTGGGGCTCGGAGGCTGGAGGGAGGGTGCTAAGATCTGCACCTGCTGGCTCCGCAGTGGTGCAAAGCCCAGCCCCGGGGCAGGAGGCGAACGCCTGCCATTGTGGGTGTCTATTCCCCATGTGAGGTGCAAGTGCAGGGCCTGGTCCCAGGGAGCCTGGTGCGGGATCAGCAGAGGGGTGAGAGGTGGTCCGTGAGCACCGGGGGGGAGTTTCTAATCAGGGAAGTCTGACTGGGCCCCTGAAGCGATGGGGATGGGTGCTGGGTGCGTTCTCTGGGGGGATCGCTGGGTTGCTCTGGATGTAGATGGTACATCCTAGAGCTCAGGGCTTGTTCTGCCTGCTGGGCAGGGAGCCGCGTGGAGCACGCTTGTTCCCATGCTCTGGTTTGCTACTGTGTCACTGACCATGCCCTGCCCCACAGGACGATCTGCGGCACCCCCAACTACCTCGCCCCCGAAGTGCTCCACCGGCAGGGCCACGGGCCGGAGTCGGACGTGTGGTCTCTGGGCTGCGTTGTGTAAGTTCCCAGCTCGCAGAGCAGGGTGGGGCTCACGGAAAAGAGGCAGCCGGGGAGCTGCCCGGGCATTGCCGAGGGCCGAGCTGATATTGCAGGGGCTTAGTTGCTGCTTGCGGACTGGCCACAGCGGGACAGATCCTGGGGTGTCTCCAGGGCTGACCGTGTAGGGGGAACTTGGGTGCTGGTGAACAGCTGGCTCCTGGTGTCATTCACTGGCACAGGACCCCGGTGCGAGAGCGCCTTGTTGCTGCTCTGTGTGCTTTCAAAACAATGGAAAAAGTCAGCCGCGGGCGGCCGCCGGTGATCTATTTATATGGGCGGCTATCGCTCCCCGCAGCGCGCTCCAAAACAACCTCGCACGTGGCTGTTTACCCTGGTAAGCCACAAGCTTCCTGTCGAACTTTCCATTTGCTGCTCTGCCGGCAGAGAGGCTCGGACAGGCCCGGGGGAAGGTGGGCTGGTGCGGTGGGGAGCATGGCCGTGGAGGGCGGAACTGGGGCAGAGTTTAACTCCGCCCCTGCTAAATATAGACCTGGCTCGACTGACATTCCTGCCTCCTTATCTCCGGCGCTGTCCCTGATTGCAGCCGGGAGGCGCGCTCCGGATGTGACTGCAGCCTCCAGCGACCCGGAACCCTGGTGCTTACTCAGAGGCTTGTCATAGGAGGCACTTAGAGCCAGGTGCGGCCTCTGGTCCGCGCACATGTCACTTCTGGGCCGTGTCATTGCTGGGCTGAGTCAGGCAGGGGTGCACACAGGGTCAGGCAGGTGTCTCAGCCCTCACCACGGCTGTGTCCTTCCAGGTACACCCTGTTGTGTGGGAACCCCCCCTTTGAGACCTCGGACCTCAAGGAGACCTACAGGTGTATCAAGCAGGTGGAATACGCCCTCCCGGCCTTCCTCTCCACGCCAGCCAAACAGCTGATCACGGGCATCTTGAAACGCAACCCGCACGACCGCCTCACGCTGGAGGAGATCCTGGACCATGAATTCTTCACCAAAGTGAGTTTGTTTCCTGTGGGCTGGAAGAGGATGAGGAGGGCGGGCCTGGTCTGTGATCGGGTGGGGAACCTCCGAGGGAGAGCATGTACGTCATGGGACGCTGACCCCAGCTGTCGGCAGGGCCTGGTCTGTCGACCCTTAACATGGCTGGATCTCAGCCTGAGGCTGTCTCAGGGCCGGACAATTCCCCAGTGTGGCCCTGTCGCTGCATTGCCCTGGAAACGAGCTGCCGCTAGCTGGCAAAGAGAGGCCGTGGGAAGGGCTGCAGTTTTGCTGTCAGTTGGGGTGATGTGAGGACGGTGAACCAGACAATGACTCTGTCCCCCCAGGGGTACACGCCGGAGAAGCTCCCTCCCAGCAGCTGTGTGATGGTGCCTGAGCTCAGTCCCCCCAACCCGGCCAAGAGTCTGTTTGCCAAGTTCACCAAGACGCTGTTTGGAAAAAGCAAACCCAAAAGTAAGTTCCCTCCCTCTGGTCTGACGTGGCCTGGGGGCCCGTGGCACGTGGCGGGTTCCCGCTGCTGGAGGGTGGCATGGAGCTGGGACGCCCCTCTCCCCCGGGACGGGAACGTTTCCTTGCAACACCGAGGCCTGCGGTGCCTGAGAACCAGGAAACGCAATGGACTCAGCCCGGCCCGCTGGGTACCAAGCGCGGAGCTGGACCGGGCTTGGGCGGGTGGGAGAACAGCAGCCCAACATCAGGCCTCTGCCGCTCCTGGGTGCGTCTGGCACGCGGCCTCCGAATGTCTGGGCTCTGGCCTGCCAACATGCCTGGTCCCCGATGCTCTGCTGGGCCGGCTTCCCACTGAGCCACTCCGCTTCCTCCTAGGTAAGAAGGGCCCCTCGGAGGAGAGGGACGACCTCTCCAAGTTGGTGGCTGGCCTCATGAAGACCTCCATCTGCAGGCAGATGAGCTACAAAACTGTGGAAGGGAATGAGGTAAGAAGGGAGGCTGAGAGGAGTCTACCTCAGAGCCGCGCAGGCCTTGGGGCAAGCGTCGGGATCCTGGTGGGGGAGCAGGAAT